ACCATTGCTACTACTACAAGTGCAACCGCAATTACAACAACAACGAAAAGATTCGCTCCCCCACCCCAGCGCGCCCCGTCGGGCGTCGCGAAATGCAACGCCTGCCACGCCCTGCGAGCCTGAAGCGGATAGCGCCCCCCACTCTAGCGCACCCCCCCTGACACCGAAGAAAGTACCACGCCTGCCACGCCCGGCGAGCCGGAGACGGACACCACCCTCACCCCCAGCGCACCCCCTCTGGTGTCGAGAAAGTGCGACGCCCGCCGTGCCCTGCGCGCCTGCAACGCATAGAGTGCGCACTCCTCCCTTCTGGTGTCGAGAAAGGGTCACGCTTGCCGTGCCCTGCATGCCTCCAACGCATACAGACCGCACCCCCTGCGCACCCCATTCTGTTGTCGAGAAAGTGCCACGCCTGCCACGCCCTGCGAGTCTGCGACGCACACAGGCCGCACCCCTTGCGCAACCCCTCTGGCGCCAAGAAAGCGCCACGCCCGCCGTGCCCCACGAACCTTCAACGCATAGAGCCCCCCCCCCCTCTCCCCCCCGGCGAAACCCCTTCTGGTGTCGAGAAAGTGCCACGCCTGCGGTGCCCTGCGAGCCTGCAACGCATATAGAGACCGCATCCCCTGCGCACGCCCTCTTGCGTCGAGAAAGTACCACGCCCGCCGTGCCCTGCGAGCCTGCAACGCATAGAGACCGCACCACTTGCGCACACATCTGGTGTCGGGAAAACGCCACGCCTGAAGTGCCCTGCGAGCCTGCAACGCATAGAGACCGCACCCCCTGCGCACCTTTTCTGGTGTAGAGAAAATGCCACGCCTGCCCTGCCTTGCGTCTGTGTCTGTGTTGTGTGGTGTGTGAATGTCTGATGTGTGTGCGGCCGTGTCTGTGTGTGTGGTCGTGTGTGTGTGTGCGTGTGTGTCTCTGTGTGTTTGTGTGTATATGTGTCTGTAGGGGAGGAAGGAAGAGGAGGGGAGGAGGGAGGAGGGAGGGGAGGTGTTTGAGCTTCGCGGGTGGGACGCGGGAGGGAAGAAAACTGGAACCCCATTAAGCATGTGGGGAACAAGAACCCCATTAAGCATGTGGGGAACAAACTCGACTTTAAGTCCTTACAGGGTTCGTGGATCCCTCAGGGTTTTCCTCCGCCAGCTAGATGATGTCACCGTAGCGAGCGATAGCATGGGGCACAAGAAATCGAGAAGCACACGCACACAGCTATTTTGCAATCGAGCCCACCGAATCTTGGGTAGGAAGCAGCTGCATGCGCTAACCTGGGGCAAGCCAACAGGCACGCACGATCGCGACTACATAATACTACACACAATACAGAACGCCGTGCATACATACGAACTGTCGTAATGAGACCAACTAGGTGACGCAATCGCAAAGTCAAACTGGAACGACCAATGGCTCATGGATGCAATCGCTCCCGGCTGTAAACGTGAATCGGCAAGCGGCCTGTAAGCCGAACCGTGCACACAAATGAACACACTCACATCTGCACACGCATGCATGCATACACACAGACACATTTAGACGCGCGCACACTTCCACTACACACACACACACTAAAATAGCAACTAGCATGGCGGAGGGCCCAACCCTACGCAGTTCCGCGTAAGGCAGTGCGCAGCCTTCTCCTCATGCACTGCGCGCCGCGGGAGGGATGGAGTCGGGGGCAACCCAGGTCTGGGTCTGCGGGGGCAGGCGCGCAGCAGCGCGCTGAGTTGTCGGGGGCGCTGTCCGCGTGAGTAGTGCGCCGAGTTGGGCGCGGGCCCGTATGCGGCCGCTCCCACTGGAGCCGTTGGTGGAGCTCGCCATGGCGGCACGATTGGCGTGAAGGGTGTGGATGTGCAGCACTGGGAGAAGGCCCGCACGCGGGGCGTGGAGCTCACACGGACGCCTTCCGCTGGGGCCGTTGGTGGAGCTCCCCACGTGGGCACGATCCGCGTGAGGGCTGTCCCCGTCTGGGCGCGGGCCCATACGTGGGCACCCTCGCTGGGGCAGTCGATGGGGCTTCCAACGGGGCCACGATCCTGATAGATGGTGAGCCGAACTCGGCGACGACAATGAAGGGGATCAGGTGGGCTGTCCAATGCGCAACACGCAACCCGTAGCATGTCGATACGGAGCTCAACACTCAGACTGAAAACAACACATGCCTGGCGCGATGCGTTCGCGGTAACGTGGGCCAACACGTCGAGCTGACACGCAGCGTGTTAGCACAGACGTGTCGAACACGGTGCGCGTTTCGCGTCAACGCGGGCGCATCGGGGAAGCGAAGAAGGGGGGAGGGAGAAAGGAAGAGGCTCGCCAGAGAGAAGATGAGGACCCAACAACATGCTGCTTTTCCGCAGCGACGAGCCCGTCGCGGTCGAAGCAAATGGCGGGAAGAGCGGTAGCGAATTGCGCCTATACGTCTGGGCAGAGGAGGAAGCGACCGCGGAGGCAAGAGCAGACGCCCAGCACCATGATTACAAGAGGGGGGCGGAGGCGCTGCCTGGCCGCCACGTGGCAACAGGGCCGCTGGTCGCGGCGGCTGCCGGACCCGCGCGGCTGGGAGTTGGAGGCGGCCAGGGGGTCCGAACTGGCTGGGACCTTAGAAAATCGGTCAGGAGAGGGAGGGGGGACATTAAATCCACTGAAAATCTGTCCCCCGTCCTACCCCTCCCAGGGTCCATCTGGAAAAGCTGCTCGCCCCGGATCTGTTTCCGACGGTTCCGGGGCCCGACAACAGCCACCGGAGGCTGGAAAACGCGAAACGCCTTCCCAAACGAAGAACCTCGAAACTGCCCGCCTTTCCTGCTGGCTGGAACCAACACAGACCCCCGACGTCATGATTTTTTAATGACGTCGACCCCCGTGGGTCTGGACTCTGGACCCCTTCCCCGGGACCTGTTCTTCATCCTGAATCGTTTTATCACGGTGCCGAAGCCCGGTAAGGGCACCTGGAGGCCGAATATATATATATATATATTATATATAATATATATATATATATATATATAAAAAAAAACAAAAAAAAACTGCCGTCGTGTTTTTTCGCAACGCGAGGGGGTCTGGAAGTGCCGGGCCACCTCAAACCCCCAGGCGGCTCCAAGCTGGGAGAGCCCACGCAGCGGCACCGCGCCCTCGCCGCCAAATCGGCGCCCCCAGCGCAAGGCACAGCGGCAGCAAGGCCGCCGCCCACCTCGCGAGGCACCTGGCCCTTCCGCCTCCGGGTGCCATCGCGGCCTCAGGCCAGTCCGAACTCCGGGCAGGTGGGTTTCCAGCGAGTCTCCACCCCAACCTAGGGCCTGGGGCCAAAGTGGCTGCCTGGCTGCGGGTGGAAGAGGAGGAGGGGGAGGAGGAGGAGAAGGAGGGGGAGAAGGAGGAGGAGGAGAAGGGGGACCAGTGTAAACCCAAGAGTCATCAAAGGTGTTGGAGTAAACTCTCCAAGCCCCCTCTTCATAGGCCCCTACGACGGTTCATTTCCATTGATGGAACTGCCTCGTTGGAAGACACCCGTTTGAAGACCCCGAAGCATGCCAACACATTGTTCTCGGGATTCCAACGCCACGGATCAACCTAACTGCTGCGTCTTGACGATCCTGAATCGTGTTCAACGCCATTCCTAAGACTTCAATGCAAAGAAGTAACGAAACAATTGCACTCGCATAATCATGAACTCTTCCAAAACACAATTCCTCGTACGTTGATGATGGGGATCCGTGAAACTCTTGCACATGTTTAAAACGAATATGCGCGGCGCTCAGGCGAGGGCCACATTTTGAAAAAGATCCGCCCTAAATCCGTGAAGCTCTTGAATTGTATTGAAAACATGTGCGCCGCACTATGGCGAGAGCCACATTTTGAAAAGTAACCGCCCTCAATCCGCGAAACCCTTGAAAATGTTTGAAATGAATGGGCGCCGCGCTAAGGCGAGAGCCACATTTTGACAACGACCCGCCCTCAATCCGTGAAGCTGATGCAAATGTTTGGAACGAATGTGCGCCGCGCTAAGGCAAGAACCACATTTTGAAAACGACCCGCCCTCAATCCGCGAAGCCCTTGCAAATGTTTGAAACGAATGTGCGCCGCGCTAAGGCAAGAACCACATTTTGAAAACGACCCGCCCCCCATCTGTGAAACTGTTGCCAATGTTGAACACTTTTTGAACATTTCGGAATCATAAGTGGTGATGAAGTCTCAGGCAAAACGCCCGGACCGCCTAAAAACTCGCATCGGGTGCGACAGGGAAAAATAATGTATAACGAAAAGGAATGGAGGAGGAGGGAGAGGAGGAGGAGGAGGAGGAGGAGGAGGAGGAGGAGGAGGATGAGGAGGAGGAGGAGGAGGAGGAGGAGGAGGAGGAGGAGGAGGAGAGGAGGAGGAGGAGGAGGAAAAGGAGGAGGAAAGGAGGAGGAGGAAGGGGATGAGGAGGAGACAGGATGTAAAAACAGGAAATCCGCGAAACAACTTCACTCTGGGAGCCATTGCCGGGGGCGTGCATCACTCGAATGCAAGCCACAGGCCTCATGATCCCGCTAGGAACGGGCAGATATTGATACATACGCCATACAAGCAGAGATGCGGCCTCTGAGATACATACCCCTGCGCGAACACGTAGTTCCAGGAGAACGCGCTACAGAGGCTGAGGATGAGGATGAGGAGGCAAAAGAGAAAGAGGAGGGGGAGGAGGAGGAGGAGGAAAAGGAAAAGGAGGACGAGGAGGAGGAGGAGGAGGAGGGGAAAAGCGGAGGAGGAGGAGGAGGAGAAGGAGGAGGAATAGGAGGAGGAGGAGGAGGAGGAGGAGGAAAAGGGGGAGGAGGAGGAGGAGGAGAGGAGGAGGAGGAGGAGGAGGAGGAGGAGGAGGAGAGGAGGGAGGAGGAGGAGGAGGAGGAGGGAGGAGGAGGAGGAGGAGGGAGGAGGAGGAGGAGGAGAGGAGAGGAGGAGGAGGAGAAGGAGGAGGAGAAGGATGAAAAGGAGGAGGCGGAGGAGGAGGGGAGGAAGAGGAGGAGGAGGGGGGGGGAGGAGGAGGAGGAGGAGGAGGAGATGAGGAGAGGAGGAGGAGGAGGGAGGAGGAGGAGGAGAGGAGGAGATGGAGGAGATGGAGGAGGAGGAGGAGAAGAAGAGGAAAAGGGAGAGGAGGAGGAGGAAGGAGGAGGAGGAGGAGGAGGAGGAGGAGGGGAGGAGGAGGATATGGTGGAGGAGGAGGAGGAGGAATCGGAGGCGGAGGCGGAGGACGAGGAGATGGATGAGGAGGAGGAGGAGGACGACGAGGAGGAGGAGGAGACGGAGGGAAGAGGAGGAGGATGAGACGGAGGGAAACATATGAGGAGGAGGACGATGATAAAGAGGAGGAGGAGGAGGAGCAGAAATATGAGCAGGAAGAGAGGAGCAGGAGGAGGAGGAGCAGGAGGAGGATGAGGAGGAAACACGAGACATGCATGTGGGAAAATTTGTGGGAGATGAAACTTCCTGAACAACGGAATGAATGTGTCTAAGAGCCTGTCTCATAGCGGGCGCTGGGCAAGGCTTCTGCTGGAAAGCGGCAGCGGGCAGCACAGGCTGCAGGTGGGGCGAACCAGGCAGGACAGGAATGCACACTGTTCGAGCCTAGTGCTCAAACAAGTCCGTCGTGACCTCGTTGGTGCCAACCTGTTGCTGGTAGTGCTCTACTAGTAGCACCCTTGAAACATGCCTGCGATGAACGCTCTGCTGACCACGCTCACAAGACGGCTGGTGGAGTACAAGCAAATACCTGCTGCACCTCGGTTGACTCACTCAGCTGAGGCATCACTTAATCAAATATTCAACTTCCTCGTAGTTCTCGCCCATGAGTGCCCACTGTCCTTCGCAATCTCGCGGCTGCTGGGCAGGTCGGCCTGCGTTCCAGCGAGCGGAGCTCAGCAGAGCTACGGCGGCCAACCTGGTGACCCAATCGCACGAGTCGCCTCTTCAATGCTGGATGAGAGAATTGTTCTGGGAGCTCGGGACGGCCTTCTCCTTCTCGCCGCTAAACTTGACCGTGTCGTGGTCATAGCTGACCTGGCCGTCCATCGCACTGGGGGTGGGCTCCCAGCCTATGCTGCCCTTGGTCAAGGGGTCGGACCGCATGTCCCGAGTGTCGTACCAGAGTAAATCCTCGATTTGCTTGTCGCGCATCAGCTAACCACCGCAAGTGGCCTCCCATGCTGCTATCAGAGGCCAGCCGCGCCGGGCTTATTAGCAGGACGCTGGAGACGGAAATGCCGTCGATGACAATCTGCACTGATCGCGCTTCAGCCCCCTGATCTCCTCGACAGAGGCGGGGCCGCGCGCCGTCTCGCGCAGCGCGAGAAGGTGCGCCTGAAGTCCGTCGGCTGCGCCGCATGCTGCGAGCAGCTCGGAGCCGAACGAAAATCTGCGCACCAGCATGTGCGATCGGCTCACTGCGTCCAACAAGTGGCACAACAAGCCGACGGTGTGGCGCACTTGCCGAGACGAGTGTGCACGGCTGCTTTCGTGCCGCACCCCGTCTCCCCCCCCTCTTGACAGACCCGTCGCTGCGTGCGCGGAGTCGCCTGGCGCGCTCCATGGCTGAAAAGGCGACGCGTGTCTTTCTCCTCTGCGTGGCCAGAATAACTGAATTGAGCTGCGTCACGCGGCGGATGAGCAGCTTGTTCTTGCCTCGCTGCTGGGCGACGACGCATGCGGCAAAATGGCGCTTGGCGAGCAGGGCGCAGGCCGCTGCTCCCAGGAAGGAGACATGGAGGTCTGGAAGCTGACCTCCGGCCAGCTCGTCATCCTTTGCCTCGGCTAAATCGGCGCGTATGATCGGCATCGGCGCGTCGATGTACTCGTCCCGGTCGAACGTCGCGGCGCCGTCGGCACTGCGGTGCTGGCCACTCCGCAGTTGATGAGAGCATCAGAATCACTTTTCATGTTGCCGAAGATGCTCTCGATGTGGCTGATTCGCCGGTCGACGTGCCCCCTGTGTCCAGCGATTTCCAGATCGTCGAATCGCTTGGACAGCATGACCACTAGTTCCGAGACGCTTTGGGCGCCCGAGTTATCCGGGGTAACTCGGGTCCGGGGTAACTCGGGTTTGGATTCCCGAGAAAGGAACCCGAGTTAGCCCTGACCCGAGTTACCCCTGATGATTCGGGGCTCTGGACGCCCGAGTTATCCGGGATAACTCGGGTCCGGGGTAACTCGGGTTTGGATTCCCGAAAAACGAACCCGAGTTATCCCTGACCCGAGTTACCCCTGATGATTCGGGGCTCTGAACGCTGGCGCGCAGGCGCCCCAAATCTCGTGCTTGACCTCGAGCATTGGGCCCCGCCCGGCGGGTTCGGCGCCGCGCCCTGGCGCGCGCGTGGCCTGGGCGAGCTTCGCGGAGAAAGCTCGGTTATCCTTGCAGCCCGTGCCCGGCTCGATGCAACGCGAGCACTCGGCCTGCTCGTCGCAGCTGTCGCGGCCGGGCACCTGCCGGAGGATTGCTGCGCTGCTGGGCGGCAGGGCGAAGTCCACCTCGCGGCGCGCTTCACCTTGTCCCTGCATTTCGGCGAAGGTCATGCCTGGCAGGAGCACCTCCTCGACGTCCGCGGCGGCGCGTCGCCCAGCGCCGCCGCCGAGGACAGCGGGCGCTGCGACGCCCGCTTCGCTGCCCCAGCGAACGTCTCCAAGGATCTGACGCCCGCGCCGCGGAAGCCCCTCGGCGCCGCGCGGTGCCGCGCGATTCAAAAAGCGTTGCCGTCTGATCCCATCGGGCGTTTGCACTTGAAGACGCGTCTAAGATCAGTTGCGCGTCGGGCGCCCTTCAGCGGTCGCCCATCAAAAGAACTGCACGTGGCCCAGGTGGCGACCTCTTCGAGGATGGCCGCTGCAACCTCCTTTGACACCTTCGACATTTTTCCGTTGGACAAAAGGTCGGCGTCGCGATTGCTGGCGGCGGTTCTAACGGCGTCATAAATGTCACGCGCGGCTGTCCGGGGAGTGCTGGCGACGCAGTCCAGGAACGGTTCTCTGGCACGAGTCGGGATCGTCAAGTCGCAATCGTAAAGATGATTCGTGGAGTCGAAGTCCCGAGAACGGTCTTTTGGCACGTCTCTCGGTATTCAAACGGTTGTCTCCCAACGGGGCAATTCCATCAGTGTCAATGAGCCCTTTGTAAGGGGCCTGTGAAAAAAGGGAGCTTGGAGGAATGGTTTGTTCTAGCATCGTTAGTGAGTTTTGGGTTTACACTGTTCCCCCCCTCCTCCATTCCTTTTCCTTATGAATAACTCTCCCCTGTCGCACCCCGACACCGGTCGAAAAAGCGGGCCAAACGTTTCGCCTGAGACTGCCTCACCGTGTACGACCGCGATGGTTCATAATTGGCAACAGTTTCACACATGGAG